GCACACCCTGGGGCCGGCTGGGGCCGACTCCAGAGTGGGCCTCGCTGCCGAGCCCAGGGCTCCAGGTGTCAAGGGGCATCGATCTAGAACAAGAGACAGACAAGTTACAGGTGGTGAGGACGTGGTGACACCACCTCTTAGCAGGTCCCTGCCTGGCCACCATGAGGACAAGTGCCCCACATCTGGGAGGGCGAGGCTACGATCAGTTCTCGATGAACGGCCCCACGCTAACAGAACGCATCTCCCACCAGAGCCATCCTGCTGGAAAAGCCCGCACAGGAATCCGTTCGTTAATCTCAAAATCCAAAACGTGTGGTTAAGCTCTTCTTGAAGATTTCTTCGTCTCCCGGGAGGCAGCCAACCTAACAGACCTCTCTGCTACCAACAAGCCCCCTGCCCCGAGAACAGGAAGGAGAGCTGCGTCCGTGACCTTCCCGAGGTCCCTGGTCCGCGATGCTCACGCCACCGCCCAGCACGGCCTGCGGAGCCGCCTCGGGACCAGCCCGCGCTGGTGTACGAACGAGATGTCCTCACGTCAGGGGGAGACGTTCCCCGTGGGAATCTCTAAACTTCTACAGGACAGTGTACTCGGGTTCAAAATTACTTAAACGTACGTCTGTGTCACATAAACACGGAAAGGAGCAGCGCGGGCGGGACGCCAGCGGGGGCAGCCGGCAGGTGCGCTGTGCTGAGCGAGCTGCCACCGCGACGCTGTGCGCCTGAAGTGGCCTAACCCTGCGCGTCCGTGTTGCTTCAAGAGCCCCCGCGTAGGACCCACGTAATACAAGCGGCAGCTTAACTCTGCAGGACCCAGTGTGTGACGGTGGCTGCCGCGGGGGCGGGGTCTCCCCTCCCCTGACCGAGCTGAGCCTGCAGGAGGTGGTTCGCGCACAGCTGCTGGCGTGGACGCTCCCTCTGAGCCCCGGGGCACGTCCGAGGACCCGCCAGGGACACGCCTGAGTGCACGCGGAGTTCGGGGCGCGTGCGTGCCGGGCGGGCAGCTGGTCCAGGCGGCCCCCCTCGCGTCTTACCTGGGCCGGGGGGGCAGGGCCGTCCTGGGCTTGGTCTGGCCATTCCCCAGAGCGGGCATCCCGGGCTCTGGGTGCAGGTGCAGGGGCCAGAGGGAGGGGCTTCTGCTCTGCGATCAGCATCCCCCCAAGAGTGAGTCGGGCTGGTGCCAGGGCCTAGGAACACAGGAAACGAGTCTCACCCACGTGAACGAACACCAGCTGGTGGGCTTGTTTCGGAGAGTTCCAGGAGCGCCGTGCGTGGTCTTGCTGCTGTGAGCGGAGCTCTGCTGCGTGACGGAGCCTGGGTCTTCCTGGAGGTGGGTGTTCGGGTATTTGTGGCAGCTCGCCACCCCCAAACAGCAGGGGTCTCCGCACGTGACTTGTCTGGGGCGGGGTGTCTCGCCCAGAAGCAAAGTGATTACGATGGAAAGTTCCAGCACAGAACGTCAGGGCCCGTGGTGCAAACACGGAGCCCACGCACCTGTGGCCTGGAGAAAGGCTCTTCCGGGAAACGCTTCGCGATGTCGAGCTGGCTACGGATCTAAGAGCGTAGTGACACCGCCCAGTGCCCTTTTGCAGAAGTTGTTTAAAATTCCAGTGTCGATCCAGAATCAAGAAAAGGTCCTTGATTCGTTCTTCACACATAATAAGAAATAATCTGTAACCCACAATCAGAACAGAAGCCAGCTCAGCTGTTTCCTGCAAAGTCTCCCGCGAACACAGGGGCCAGGACGGGTGGGCACAGCCGGTGGCTCCCCGGTCCCGAGCGCACAGCCCCCGCCGCGGCTCCCCGGGGCCTCCTGAGGTCTCCCTGCGACGAGCAGGGGGGCACCTGGCACGTCGTCCTACCCAGACAGGACCGAGCACCGGTAGCTGTTCCTTTTCCCAGCCCCAGCCCCTTTTCCAAAGCAGTATCTACGGGTCAAACGCGGACAGCGCTCGGGGCGACGGCCTGCGGGCCGGAGCCAGCCTGGACGCCGGAGGGACGAGGCAGTGTCACGCCCGTCCTCCCCCGTCCTCCCCACCAGCGCGGCGGCTCTCCCTCCCGTGTCCTCCCGTGACTCCAGGCAGCCGGTGTTCGTGAGGGTCCGAGGAGGTGACGCCGGGTCCAGGGCCCACCCAGATCAGTGCACGCTCACAAACAACCTGTACACCAGAGCCACGCGTGAAGCCACAGCCAGTGCTCTTCACCGTTCCTACTCGCGGAGCAGCGACTACGAACGGGCCGGATGCTGGCCTAGCACTGAGAACACAGAAGTGAAAAGTCACATTAAAGCTGAGTCCACACAAAAAGTACAGAAGGTTCTTTAGCCAGTTAAAGACCAGGGATCTGCAGAGAGACCACGAATCTAAGGGCCGAGCCAATGTGCTTGGACCCGTCAGACCTCCCGCGGAAGGGTCCACACCGTCCGGCCGGCGACCGCGGGCAGCTCGGTGCCGCCTGCACGTCCAGGGTCCTCTGGACCTGATCAGGACCGGACACACCGGGGATGGGCCTCGAGTCCCCCGGGCAGCGCAGCGAGCGCCGACATGCTACCCGGGAAACGTCACAGCTTCGCCGCCTTTCTCCAGCCACGAGCCCACGTGTGCCGGGATGCGGCGTGGAGCCAATCGGGGCCACCCCAGAAATCACAGCAGCCTCGGTCCCTCCGCAACGTCCAGCCGCCAGGTGCTCCCCGCCCTCACTGCACCAAGGTCTGGGGACGCCCAGCAGGTCGCACAGCCCCCCCACCCCGAGCCACCGGCCTGAGCTGAGGGCCCTTTGCTATCGGAGCCCCAGGAGCCTGGGGGGCCTCAGCCCTGGGACACGCACCGCACCCCTGCCCGGCTTCGCTACCCGTGTGCGATGAGCTGGCGGGTCCCTGACACACACACACCATCCCTAGTCACCAGGCTCGGGGGCCTGGGGCTCCGGTGAGCCAGCGGGGGCTGCAGGAGGGGGTCCCCGTCCCGACGACGCAGGAGAGCCCTCGGTCGGGAACACGCCGGAGCCAGGCCCCGCTGCCCCGTGTCCCACTCAACAGAAAACTCGCTCCCGCCAACGAGGGCACGTCCAGACTCTAGCGGTGGTGGGGGACAGGTGACCGCCGTGGCTTCCCCCGGCCCCGATGCCGCGCCCCGAGCACAGAGAGAAACCACGCCCGCCCCTGGGCAGCCGGCCGGCGGGCCGCACGCGGAGTGGCCTCGGCTCCCTGGGATCCGGGGCTCAGGGCGCGGCTGACACTGACGCCCTCCATGGTGACAAATGTCTCCAGAGCAGGTGCCCGGACAGGTGGCCACAACCACGTCTCAGCCACCGGGCGGCAGCTCGGGCCGCCCAACCAGGGACGGAGGGCAGGCTACCGCCGCGGCCGAGCACAACGTTTTGGGAAACAAGGTTTTCATCTGGGTATTTTCATTCCTCGTTTTTAGAGGACGTCAGAAGGTGAGATTTTAAAATAAGCCACTTCCCCTGGGGTCCCAGGGTGGGGGGAGGCCGCGGATGCCGCACCAGGAGTGGGATCCAGACCCCCGCGCGGGGCCCATGGCCTTTGGGTCAGGCCCAGGCTGCGGGCAGAGGCTGACACACAGGACACAGAGAAAAGCACTGAACGCCCCACCCCACCCCGATTCCCAAGGGGCAGAGGCACTGCTCCAGCTGCACGTGGCATTCACACGCGCCTTAGGGGTTACAGGGGTGGACGGGTGTGCCCCCACCTGTGCACACGGCCACAAATTCCCGGCATCCTCCAGTGCTCCTGCCCGTCCGCCCCCCAGGGCCCTGCAGGCGTCCTGGTCACAGGGCCCCGCAGCCTCTGCCGGCGGCACCAACACGCGGGAGCACATGGCGCTCGCTCTGCAGACGCTCAAGGCCCCAGGCGCGCACACAACGGCTGTGACGCACCTTCCCACAGGGCCCGAGGCCGGGAGAGCACGCCTGGAGTCACCCAGCCCGGCCGCGGGGCGCTCAGCTTAGGCTCTGGCCTCCCGGCCAAGTCCCGTGAGCTGGCCACGGCGCCCACACTGCGGGGACACTGGCCCGGCTATCGAGAAGCGCAGGGCAATGCGGCGACAGAGCCTCGCTCCCCCGCAGTCTTCACTGGCCGCAGCTTCCGTCGCGTAGCACCGGGGCTCGGGCACCTCAGCGCTCACGAACCCGAACTTGTACGACGACGCTGTTGTTTTTCTTTAAATTAGAGCAAAAATGGAAACAAGCAGTTTGCAAACCCCCGACACGTGAAACGGCCTCACTTCCTCCGGTGGCGCTCGGGAAACTACAGCATCCACATGGGGAGGGGGTGGCGGCGACTCAGGGCCCGCACGCCCGCTCGCACCCCCCTCCCCCACCCCCGGCCGCGGCCCCTCCCCCCCGTGGCCCCGCAGCCCGCTCCATCGCTCCATCGGGCACGCACGGTGTGCGCCACCCAGGCCCAGCACCCTTCCCCGGGACGGCAGGGACGCCGGCGCGCAGCGTCCCCAGGCCGGATCTTCAGGGCACCGTGGCTCTCCCGAGAAGTCCCGGGGCGCCCGCGGCTCGGGCCCCCTGGGCTGCTTCCCATGTTGGTGTGTCATGTGCTCCCGGGGCCTGGAATGCCGCCGGGGACACTGCAGCGGCAACGACTCCGACTCTGCAGACGCGCGTGCCGCCGGCGCGGGTAAGCGGCGTGAGCAGCGGAGACAAAGGGTCCGCGCTGCCTCCCCACCCGCGCGGGCGGGAAGGCGGCGGCCGGCAGGGGGAGCCCGAGCCCGTGCCTCCGCGCGGCGCCTCCACCCCCAGCCCCGGGCTCCGCTTCCGGCCGCGCGGCCAACCTGGACGAGGTTCTGGGCTCAGATGCCTCCATCTCCGTCTCAGACACTGAGCAAGCACCGCCGTCGCCCCGAGAGCTCGCGGCGAGCGCCTCCCCCGCCCCACGGCCACGGGCCTCCGCACAGCCTCCCGCGCCCCCGCGCCCACACGACTCCACCGACCTCGCTGCTCCTTCCTAGGCGGCGCGACGGGGCGGCACTTACGGGACAGGGAGTGGGTGCCTTTGGGCAGGTACTCCAGCAGCAGGGAGCTGTCGTCCCCCAGCACGTCGGCCTTGAGAGACAGCAGGCTGTTCTTACTCATGAGTGCCGCCCGCAGGTTGGCCACGGCCGTGGCCTGGTGCAGAGCCTCGTCCTTCTCGGGGGTGAGGGGCGGGCCCAGGTAGCTGCCTTCTCCTCCCAGGAGACCCTCGTCCACGTGGCCGTAGAGCTCAGCCCTCTCCCCTCGGCCGTCAGAGCTGCTGGCCTCGGTGACAGTCAAGTCCGCACCTGGCAGAGGAAACACAAGGACACGCAGGTCATCTTCGGCTCTCCCAGGGGACCCGCGCACACGGAGGAGCCTCCCCGCGCCCAGCTGCTCGTCCTCAAGTCCGACCCGCTTCTGCCCCAGGAGGGCGGCCGAGGCCTCGGGTGGGCGCTGCGCTCAGAACACGGCGGGGGGGGGGGGGGACGACAAGAGCACGGGGACCCGCTCCAGACTCTGCCCGGCCCGGAGCCTGGCTGTCGTGTGGCCGCAGCACTTCCACCTCGCGCAGAGGAGGCGACGCTCAACACGGACGAAGGGCGGCGCGGGAGAGTGGAAACTCTTGGGGAAGCTCCGCGACCTCCGCTTTGCCGCGGGGCTCGCGGGGCGGACACCAGGGCGCCGCCAACGAACGGCCGGGCTTGGCCAAAGGGGCAGAGGACACCATCCAGCAAGCGAGAAGGCCCGCGGGCCCGTCCCTGGAGCATGGGACACCGGCCTCGCTCGAGCCCCCGGCCGGGTGCGGCGCCTCCGTGAAACCAGGAGGAGGGAGGCGGGAACGCGGAACATCCACAGAGCAGCCGCCGGACAGGAGAGCCCACTCCGAGTGCAGAGAAGGCTCACAACTCAGTCAAAACAAAAATAACCCCAGTCGTGGTTTTTTACATTTTTTAAGTTCAAATTCAATTTAATAATCCAAGTTTTAAATGGGCCAAGGACCTGAGCAGATACTCATCCGAGATGACACGTAAGCGACGGCGAGCACAGTCCGAGGCCACCAGTCGGCAGGGACACGCCTGGAAACCCTGGAGGCCACTTCACGCCTGCAGCGTGGCCCGAATCCGTCCGACGGTCACCAGGGCCGATGGCGTAAGGACACTGGAAACCCCCCCCCCACCCGTCAGAACGTCCGGTGCCGCTGCCGCGGGCGGCGTAACAACTCCTCGGAGGGCACACGGTTGCCATGCAGGCTCGTACCCAGGGGAGGTGAAGGCACACACGTGTGCAAGCTCACAGCAACACGTCCATCAGCGGATGACGGGCAAGCAGGAGGGGTCCGTCCTCGCAGGGGACGTGCGCTCGGCTGTGACGAGGCAGGACGTGCCAGCAGGGACGGAGCCTGCGGCCACAGCCGCTCATGCACGGGCAGCTGACACCCCCGAGTCCCGAGGAACTCCCCGGGGACGCCTTGGAGGGCCGGTCGGGCAGCCCGGTGACCGCAGCCGAGCCTCGTGTGCGCGGGAGGTTCTGGGGTCGAGACCTCGCCCGGACGCCGCTGCCCCGCGGACTTGCCGGGATTCAAGCTGCCTCGTTTACCAAAAGCGTCCAATCTCACATCTGGAAAACGGGCTGAGTTCCAAACACTCATTTGTGGGGTGTTCCCTTCATCCGGACCCACGGACACGCGTGTACAGGTGCCCACATGCTTGCTCACGTGCACACGCATGTGCACCTGCACACAAGCGCCGCTTCCTCTGGAGGGTCTGGCACGGCTCCCAGGCCGACAGGAAGGCCCTGCCCCCAGACGGAGGGACGGCGCGAGCGTGGCTCCTCTGCAGGCGCATCACACGCGTGAGGCAGCGAGGTGACCGCAGGCAGCTGCACGAGCGACGGGAAAGACCCAGGCCCATTTCCTGGTGCTGACCTCTTTTCAATCCCGCAAACAGGATTAAAAATACCAACATCAGGGGCAGCCCCAGTGGCGCAGCGGTTAGCGCCGCCTTCAGCCAGGGCCTGTTCCTGGAGACCCGGGATCGAATCCCAGGTCGGGCTCCCTGCGTGGAGCCTGCTGCTCCCTCCGCCTGCGTCTCTGCCTCTCTCTCTCTCTGTCTCCCCCCAACCCCGTCAGAAATAAATAAATAAAATCTTAAAAAAAAAAAAAAGAGCCAAGGTCTCATTGTGGAGGGGAGCACAGTGCTTTCTCCTTCTTCCCATGAACGATACATCATGACACTTTGAGAATTTAGCTCACACTCTTTAGCTGAAAAGCAGAAAAAAGATTATAATTAAAATGAGCAGAATTTTTGATCAGATCAGACTGCATCAGGTGGGGTCAGTCGCAAAGTGGGGTATGAGCCGAGTCGGAACAGAAAAGAGGGTTCCAGCCAGGTGAGCTCCAGGGCCTGGGGGTCGTGGCCGGCAGGGGGAAGGGGCAGGGCAGGGCGCTGGCCTCACCAGCAGGGTGTCGGGGGGCACGGCCTGCTGGACAGTCCACACCCGCGGCTCAGGACTCCCCACATCTCCACTCTCGACCATTCTGTAAAATGCTCACAAGGAGCCTTGGAGGACGTCTGCACGGAAGGCCCCGCCCCGCTCTGCCCGACGCCCCGTCCACCAGCCGGGCACCCAGGGTGCGCCTTGCCCACGGCACACGGAAGCTTCCGGAGAGTGTGTGCAGGTCGGGGGTGGGGAGACCCAGCGGCAGGTGCAGGCCCGCGCCCGCCCCCGCCCTGCCCCGCCCGGGGGTCACAGCCCAGGTCAGGCTCACAGGGGGCACAGCACGGTTGGGAGGATCAGTTGCCTCGTCATCTGGCGTCCTTCTCACCTCCGCGTCCAGAACGCGGTTTCCAGCGCGTCACGTGTCTTTATCCAAGTTCAAATCCAGTTTCCTCACTTTCTTAACTATCATCAGGTTTCCACGTCATTCGATGAACCCTCCTTGGTTGAAATACATACGACTGAATGAATTCATGACTGAATCAATCACCTTCCTGACTGTACAGCAATTCAGTGAGTAAAAGCCAGAGTTCCGGCGAACAGAGCTGAACAACTAGACGTGCCCAGGGAGATCGTCGGGAGCCACAGGCCTACACGTCACACCTAAATCTGTTAAACTTCCAAGAAAAAACACGTGGGGAACGTTTGTGACCTTCGGGAAAGACTTCTGTGATAGGACTCGCGACGTACGGGGCCACGAAAGAAAAATGTCTGCAAATCAGGCTTCATCCCAGTTTAAAGCGTGTGCTTCTCCGCAAACCACGGCCCATGAAAGCACGAGGCACAGACAGAAAATGTCTCCACAACACACACCTGGTGAGGGTCGGAACCAGAATGTACCCTCGGCCCCGCGCCGGAAGTGGGCTCAAGACTGCAACAGACGCTTCTGCAAAGCAGAGCACGGGGGGGTGGGGGGGCATGGGGGCACGTGGGGGGCACGTGGGGGGCACGTGGCGAGGCCTGCACGCGGCCCACCGCTCACCCCACGGCACAAGCCACCCTGGCCGGACCTCACGAAGGGAGCGTGTGAAGGCAGACACGGAGAAGACCAACAACACGGCCCAGCAGAGAAACGCCGGCGCCTCCGGGACGCGTACAAATCCCAAGATGAGCAACGGTGAACACAGAGGATGTGGAGCCCAGGGGACAGGCCACGCGAAGCCAGCAAGAGCCTCAAGTCCCGGCAGGAAGCTCATGCGAGAGTAAACACGCAGGTGCACGACGTCGCCCTGTGGTCCCCGCGGCCTGGTGCTGGCCCCCGAACCCCCCAGGAAGCCCGGCGTCCACCAGCAGGAGTGTCACGGCCCGAGCCGGTGCTACGGCGTGACTGAGGGATGCGCACGGGCTTGCAGACGAGCCTCAGAAGCACCGTCGGACCCCCAGACACTCGGGCGAGGGGGGCCTCGGCGCCTCGGGGGCAGCTGCAGGGGCTGAGGTCCGAGGACCATGTCCATGAGTGGACGCTGGCGGCGGCGGGGCTGCAAGGTGTGGGCCTGGGGGCAACGGCCTCAAGGGACGCGGGCCCTGCAGTCCTTGGGACTCGTCCTCGCGCACAAGCGTCTCTGGCTGGCAGCGCGGCGGTCAAGCAGCACCAGGCGGGCGGGCGGTGCGGGCGGCTCCCGACCACAGAGGCACCTGCCGGACTCAGCTCACCCTCCAGGGCCTCGAGGCCAGCAACGCCCCTGCGAGCTGTGGACGACGCGGGCGACACGGGGAGACCGGCGGGTTCCTTACACTCAGGCCACCGCGGCCCTGTGCCCACCCCACGCGCATTCACAGAAGCCTGAGCCCCGCACAAGCGGCGCCGACAGAGCGTGGACAGACGGACGGCGCTGTGTCCGGGGCCCAGGCCAGGCAGGTGTGCACGAGCGAGACGCCGCGCACCTCTCTGCCGCGTTCGCTACACCCACGCCTCAGGCTTCTTAAAGTCCGCAAAAGGCGGTGGCGTCCAAGTTTGCAAAGACCTTACCGCGCCCGACTCCTCGTAACACGTCCACTTCGGCGCAAGTCCCCAAGCCGCGCGTTCACACGTTCGCAGAGCCTCAGCCTCAAGGTCCCCGCACGGCCCAGGCCGTCCTCACCGGGGTCCTCGTCACAGCCCGCGGGGGCGTCGCGCCTGCCCCCACACTCCCAACGGAACTAAGCCCGGGGGCGAAGGAAGCAGAAGCCCCCAAGTTCAAGTCAGACCAGGATCCAGCGAGACGGCGCCTCCGGCTGAGGGGCACCCACGCAGCGGACGCCCTCGCGCGGGCCGGACACTCCAGTCGGCGAAGCCCCTGCCCCCCACAAGCACCCAGCAGCACCCTGCGTCCGCGAGAGCCCCCCCAAGGCGCATCCTTCATGAATTCGATGTTCCAGAAAATCCAGACGCAAAGGTTTCGCTTCTGTTGCAGCGGGAGGAGCGGCTGCTGCGACACAGCAAAGCCCAGGTCATGGGCCCGTCACGCGCGACAGTGATTCCAAAGTACGGCCTTGGGCACAGGTGGGACTCCTGCGCCCACGCCGGCCTCTGGCTGCGGCCACGCTCGTGTGCTCCTCGGCACCCGGTGCCCGCCCTCCCGAACGCGGCAAGGACCTCGCCGGCCCTCATCCCGGCAGCGGGTGCTCCAGGGTGGCCCGGTCCCCCTGCTGTCAACCCGTAAGCTGACAAAGGGGCCGCTCCTGCGGCGGGTCCCCAGCTGCCACCTGGCGGCACCGTGGGCGTCCAGCACGGGCTCTGCTCACGTGGGGGGAACGCCGGGAGGGCCTCGGAGCACAGGCCTTAGGGCCGAGGGCATGACTGACGGGGTGGAGGCTGCGGCCCGTCCCCGCCCCTCGGGACGCAGGTGTCGCATCTCATTCAGGCTCTTTTACCCCAAAGCACAAGTGCCACACGGAGCAAGACGACAACCGTGGGCCGTGGAAGGCGGCCTCCTCGAGGCGCCCAGCCGATGACGCCCGGGCGCCGGGCACACGCTCCACCCTTCAGGTCTCCAGGAGGATCAGGACCCGACGTGTCGGTGAACCAGAAGCCCAGGGTCACCACCTCTCGGACGTATCCTCCGTGCCCTCCGCGGCTTCCACACGGCCCTGCTCACCTCCGCAGACCTGCGTGGCGGCTCCTACGTGACCCCTCGGGGGGCCGGCGTGGGGCACCCCCAGGCGTGGCGCCTGTGCTCCCTCCCGCTGGGGGAAGAGGCCGGAGGGTGGGAGTAGCCAGCGGGGGCGGGGGGCGCACAGAGAGCACCTTTGCCACCGCCCGGAGGTTCCGACGCTTCCACTGCATCAAGGCCCACGTCACAAGGGCTCAGGTATGAACATTTACTTTGCAAAAGCCACGCACCTCATTCGAGCCACGGAAGCCCCTTTTGGCAAAACCTTTCAAGGACACGTGTGGACGTCAGGATAAGCACCCGGGCCCCTCCCTCAGCGGCTTCTGAGCCGACCTCATCCGGCGTCCGGGGCCATCTCGGGGTCACACGGGCCGGAGCCCCAGGAGGATGCGTGGGAGCAACGTGGGGCGGCCCTGCCCGACGCGCAGCCGACCTGCCCCCGCCAGCTGCCGCGCAGGCACCGGCTGTCACCCAGAAGTAGACGTCAACGGTCACTTCCTTGGAAGCCACTAGGGAAACATGCTCTTGGCCTTTTGCTCGGGAGAATGGCTCTTGAATGCTCGCGGGCTCAGCATCAGCACCGGTCGTGGGGCGGGGGACACAGGGACGGGGCCGGGCAGGCGGCCCTGGCTGCGGAGCCGCCTCTGAGCATCTGTGCGGAGCCCCCAGGTGACCTGCAACCTCCGCCCGACACGTTCCCCTGGGAGAGGGCCCCTTCTCCCACGAATAGGATGAGACGTTAAAATACTCTTGTCTAAAAAAATAAAATAAAATAAAGTAAAATAAAATAAAATAAAATAATAAAATAAAATAAAAAAATAAAATACTCTTGTCTAATTTATTATTTAAAAAAAATGCTAAAAAAAAAAAGGTAAAAAAAAATACTCTTGTCTACGGGTAACGAATACTCAATGGACGCAACCTGACGTCCCCGCGGAACCGCAACTCGAGCCTCCACGGCCAGCCCCGCACACTGGGGAGGGAGTGACCAGCACAGCGGGCAGGCACCGTGCGTGCAAGCCGACAGCCCCCCCCCCTTGTCTCTGCGACTCAGAATAATCTAACAGAAGCGGCTCGCGGTTGCCTTGGTAACCCGGGGGATTTAAGACATTAACAAAAGTACGCAGCCGAGATCACTTGTTGGATTCTAAAAACACCTTCTGCTTCACGACTGCATTTGAAACCTCAAACCCACAGGCCGGAGGAGCGTCCGTTCCTTACTAGGCTGACGGGCCCTCACGCCGCCAGCATCGCGGCCGCCGGGGGCTCAGGACCTCAAGCCGGCGTCCGGGGCTGCGGCACTGACCACCCAGAAGGTTCCACACGAAGCGTCGCCCTCAGGGCGTCCGCCGGGACCGCGGCTTCTCAGATTCTGCTCAGGGCCGGTGACGGACTATAAAGGGAGCCTGGGGCACGCGGGGGACCTCTGCCGAGCACAGCTGGCGGGGACAGGTGGCTCCCCATCAGCTCAGAGACCTCACAGTCCTCTTGGCTCAGCTAATGTCCTACAGTTCCGCGGTCTGCCCGTCGGGGACGTTTAAGTGCCTGGACACGCTCCTGCTTGTCACCAAGCGAGGGGATGGGCTGCTGTTGGCACCCAGTGGCCGAGGCCGGGGATGGTGCCACACGCGCACCCGGGACCGTCCCCATGGCAGAGCCGTCCAGCCCCAGGCTGAAAGACCACGATTAACCATCGCATCCTGGGCACGCCGGGATCTGGCGTCGTGCTCAGGGCTGGGGACGCAGAAGGATGGAGAGAGTGACAAGGCCCCGGAGCACCTCGGGGGCCCCACTTACTGGATACGGTCTCAGTTCGGGACGACGGAAGCTCGAGATGAGCAGCAACGCCGGTCGTGTGACAGCGTGAGGAATTGCCGCCCCTGAGCCGCGTACCCAGCGAGGGCATCTGCACCCTCGCACGACAATAAAAGCTCGTGAGTGGGGAGCAGGGCCGGGCGGGGAGTGGGCAGCTGCCCCCGCGAGCACGGGACGCTCAGCATCTGTGACACTTCTCAGGCCCGTTACGCCGGTCTGCTGCCTCCCCTCTGCCCGTTCCCGTGTTCCAAGGGATCTAGGACCCTGCCGGGGGGCCGCCCCAGGACAAGAACTGGCCAAGAGCCTCCGGCCTGCCCTGGACCATCTCGCCCCGTCCGGAGCCGGGCTGCGGCGCATGGGGGCCGTGGGCAGTGCCTGTTCCGCGCTCAGCACCGGGAGGGGCACCTGCTGCTTCGGGAAGTGTCAGGTTTGCCACCCGCTGGCCTGGGACACCCGCGACGCTGCCCTCCAGAGCGTGAGGACCGGGCTCAGAGCCACGCCGGGCCCCGGGGGCCACACGCGGGGTCACGGAGAGCCTCTGTGCGGCCCGTCGTTTGCCCCCCGGAGCCGAGCGTGTGGGGCACGAGGAGACTCCCCGCGCTGCGAGGCTGCCCTGCAGCAGACCCTCGCGTGCCCGTCGGGGGAGCGCTCTGCCGCGGACGGAGCACGCGCACGCGCCCGGCTGTCCAACAGCCACGCCGATGACAAGAACACGCGCCGGCTGCAGAGCACCCAGAACCGAGGCCCCGAGGTGTGAGGTCTGCTCCCGTCCCACCTTCATCTCACCTCATCTGACGCACTTTCCACCTTTTAACATTTTAACATTTAAGTCTTTTATTTTTTTTTTAATTTTTATTTATTTATGATAGTCACACAGTGAGAGAGAGAGAGAGGCAGAGACACAGGCAGAGGGAGAAGCAGGCTCCATGCACTGGGAGCCTGACGTGGGATTCGATCCCGGGTCTCCAGGATCGCGCCCTGGGCCAAAGGCAAGCGCCAAACCGCTGCGCCACCCAGGGATCCCCCATTTAAGTCTTTTAAAAAGGGGCGCCTGGGGGGCCCAGTGGGTTGAGCGTCAGGTCATGATCTCAGCGTCCATGGGCTCCCTGCTCGGTGGGGAGGCTGCTCTTCCCTCTGCCGCCCCCACCCCTGCTCGTGCTCACTCTCAAATAAACAAATAAAAATTTTTTTAAATAAATTTTTTTAAGATTAAGCTACCCTCATAGTGTTTCCTACAAAAGGGAAGCAGACCCGTCAAGCTGACCCCACACACCGCGTGTCACCCCACTTTCCCGCGACTGGGAGCCCCACCTCTGTGCCGGGGACGCGGGTCCCGAGGTGGCACTCCCTGCGCCTACAGAGGGGACCGCGGGAGGCGATGGCCACGGGGCGGCACCAGCGTGGGCGGGCCGTGCTGCTTCCCCGGAAGCCACGCAGGGCGCTGGGCCTGGCAGGGTGGGAGCGCCCGCCCGTAAGAACAAAAGGCTTACTTGAGTCGCGGCTGCTGAACGGCCACCCCGACGTCGGCAGGAAAGAGGCCACTGGGGACCCGGCCCGGCTGTCGTCCTCCACCTGCTGCGTGATATGCCGGACGGTCTCCTTGTTTTTCCGATTCTTCCTTCGACCCGTGGGCTGCCAGCCGTCCCCTCCGGCCTGCTCTGAGAAGGAGTTCTGTATCACCCCGTCCCTGGCGGAAGGCAGCTCGCTCCCCCCGTAATGAGACGGTGAAACCTGCTCTTCCTTGACACGCAGAGACCCGTAGCCCACGTCGCCAGGCCACAGCGGCTGCGAGGAAATGTCGTCGGGGCCGTCGGCCTTGGGCTCCTGGTCCTCTTTGCCGTAGCTGCTTCCTCCCTCGTGGCAGCTGGCGATGGCCGAGTCTCCCGAAGAGTTGGCGGGGCTGGTGCGCCGGGCCAGCCACGGGGAGATGCTCCTTCCGGCCATCACAGCCGAGATCAGGGCGTCCGTGCTGCTGCCCGGCGGGGCGCTGATCTCAAACTCTGAGAGCTCGTCCGAGGCATCGGGCTTGATGCTGATGTCCAGTGCGGCCTTGATGAAGTCGTGGCACGCCTGCACAATGTCCGTCATCTGCAGGAAGCTGGCGGCGGACATCACCTCGATGACATTCCTGCTGGTCAGGGCCAGGTGGGCCGAGTACATGAAGTCGATGATGGCCTTGAAGCCCTGGGCCGTGACGATGTCCAGGTGTGTGACGGTGGCCTGGTCGGACGTCTTCTGCACCTGGCAGTACAGCGTCTTAAAGTAGCGGCTGCTGCCGAGCAGGACGTTCTTATGTGCCTTGAACACCTTGCCCTCAACCACGACACAGACGTCACACAGGACGCCGTGCTGCCTCTGCTCGTTGAGCTCGCGGAGCAGGTGCCGGTAGTGGGACGCGATTTCCATGTCTTCCTTTCGGTTGTTCATCTGGAAGTCCTGGCGTTGCTCTTCTACAGACTCTGTGGGGGAAGAACAAGCGAGTTACCCACGTGCTGGACACAAACGTGTCGGGGGAGTCAGGCAGGGCGGGGGCGCGGCGGGCTGCGGCGGGTTTCGGGGCGCGAGGCTGACGGCCACAACCGCCACCACACCGGGCCCTGAACAGAACCCTCACTCCGCGGCCACCTCCCGGCACAGACACCAGATCGTCCCACTAGTTGCTGGAGTGACTTTCTTACCCAAATGTGAACTGTAGGTGAAATAACCCAAAGGGACCTCGTCCCGCACCCTCGAGGACACACATGAAAGTCACTCAAGCGTCCCACTCTCGGTTCCCGCTCGGGTCATGACCCCGAGGTGCTGGGATCGAGCCCCAGTCGGGCTCCCTGCTCCGAGGAGGGGTCCCCTTCTCTGCCTCTCTCTCCCTTCTCCCTCTGCCCCTCCCCCTCCTCACTCTCCCTTTAAAATAAATACATCTTTTTAATACATTAAGGGACTCCTGGGGGGCTCAGCAGTTGAGCACCTGCCTTCGGCTCAGGGTGTGATCCTGGAGTCCCGGGATCGAGTCCCACATCGGGCTCCCTGCATGGAGCCTGCTTCTCCCTCTGCCTGTGTCTCTGCCTCTCTCTGTGTCTCTCATGAATAAAGTGGCTGGGTCCACCTCACACACCCCTTCACTCACTCAAAGCTGTTGCAACACACACACCTTCCTTTGGTCACTATAACGTTTCCAAACACCACCTGGAATCATCTTAAAAATGCCCCCCGTGAGATGAAAGGGAAAAAGCAGCGCTTCCAAACTCATTCTGAAGCCAGCATCATCCCAATACCAAAACCAGGTAAAGACGCTACGGGGGGAGAACTACAGGCCCAATAACCCTGATGAACAGAGATGTAAACCACCCCCCCCCCGCCAATATTAGGAAACCGAATCCAACGGCACATTGAAAAACTCATTCACCACAGTCAAGTGGGATTTACTCCTCCGTAGCAAGGTGGTTCAATACCCACAAATCAATCCACGTGAAATATCATCATATCAATAAGAGAAAGGACTAGAACCACTGGATCACTTCAACTGATACAGAAGAAGCATTTGACAAAGTACAACATGTAATCATGACAAAAACTCTCAACAGTAGGTTTAGAGGGAACATATGTCAACATGGTAAAGGCCTTTCACGAAAAACCCACAGTCAACAACATAGGCAATGGGGGAAAGCAAGCGCTTTCCTACTACGGTCGGGAACATGACAAGGATGCCCACTCTCATGACTGTTCGACTTAGTGCTGGGAGTCCGAGCCACAGCAATCAGATAAGAAAAAGGAATAAGGGGATCCCTGGGTGGCGCAGCGGTTTGGCGCCTGCCTTTGGCCCAGGGCGCGATCCTGGAGACCCGGGATCAAATCCCACATCGGGCTCCCGGTGCATGGAGCCTGCTTCTCCCTCTGCCTGTGTCTCTGCCTCTCTCTCTCTCTCTCTCTCTCTCTCTCTCTCTCTGTGACTATCATAAATAAATAAAAATTTAAAAAAAGAAAGAAAAAGGAATAAAAGGCATCCAAATCAGTAAGGAAGAAGTTTTCACTATTTGCAGATGACGTGATACTATACATAGGAAACCCTAACAACGCCACCAAAAAACTACCATAATTCATAAATGACATCAGTAGGTTCACAGGATACAAAAATCAATATAAGAAATCCATTGCAGGTCACTTGGGGGCTCAGTGGTCAAGCATCTGCCTTCAGCTCAGGGCATGACCCCAGGGTTCGGGGATTGAGTCCCACCTCGGGCTTCCTGCTCAGCAGGCGTCTGCTTCTCCCTCCCCCTCTTCTCCTCCCCCTGTTCACGCTCACTCTCTCGCTGTCTCTCGCTCTCTCTTTCTCTGTCAAATAAATAAATAAAATCCTAAAAAAAACCCCAAAGCTCTCGTAATCAAAACAGTATGGTGCTGGCACAAAAACAGACACACCAGATCAATGAAACAGAATAGAGGGCCCAGAGATAAATCCACAATTATATGGTCAATTAATCTTCAACAAATGAACAAGAGTGTCCAACGGGAAGAACACAGTCTCGTCCACAAACAGTGTTGGGGAAACTGCACAGCCACATGCGGAAGAATGAAACAAGACCACTTTCTCACACCATACACAAAAAGAGACTCAAAACGGAGTAGGGGCCTAAATGTGAGACCTAAAAGCATAAAAATCCTAGGAGAGCGCACAGGCCGTAGTACCTCTGACGTCGGCCGAAGTGACATTTTTCTAGATATGTCTCCTGAGGTGAAGGAAACAAGAGCAAACTACGCTACCGGGACTTCATCAAAATAAAAAGCTTCTGCACAGCGAAGGAAACAACCAATACACTAAAAGGCAAACGGAACAGAAGATGTTTGCACATAATACAGCTGATAAAGGATTAGTACCCAAAGTACAGAAAGAACTTATACAACTCGGGGCACCTGGGGGGCTCAGCTGTTGAGCGCCTGTCTTGGGCTCAGGGTGTGATCGAGTCCCACATCGGGCTCCTGGTGCATGGAGCCTGCTTCTCCCTCTGCCTGTGTCTCTGCCTCTCTCTCTTTCTCTCTGTGACTATCATAAATAAATAAATAAAAATTAAAAAAAAAAGATTTTATGTATTTATTCGTGAGAGACACAGAGAGAGAGGCAGAGACACAGGCAGAGGGAGAAGCAGGCTCCATGCAGGGAGCCCGACGTGGGACTCGATCCCGGGTCTCCAGGATCGCGCCCTGGGCCAAAGGCAGGCGCCAAACCGCTGCGCCACCCAGGGATCCCCTAAATACATAAAATCTTAAAAAAAAAAAAAACTTATAAAACGCAACACCCAAAAACCAAATAATCCAATTTAAAAACGTGCAGAAGACGCGAACAGACGTTTCTCCAAAGAAGACCTACGCACGGCCAACAGACACGCGAAAAGATGCTCAACACCACTGATCGTCAGGGAAACACAAATCAAAACCACGATGAGACACACCAGTATGTGTCACACCTGTCAGCTCGGCTGAAGGCAGCAACACAGGAAACCACGGGCGTTGGCGAGGACGTGGAGAGCGGGGAGCCCTGTCACCCTGCTGGTGGGGACGCAGGCTGGTGCAGACACTCTGGAGATCAGTGTGGAGGGTCCTCCAAAGATCAGCAATAGAAACACCGTAGGATGCGGTAATCCCACTCCTGGCTATTAACCCAAACAATACAAAAGCACTAATTTGAAAGGACACGTGCACCCCTGTGTTCACAGCAGCATCAGCTACAGGAGTCAAACTATGGCAGCAGCCTGGGTCCACCAACAGATGACCGGGTAAAGGTGCGGCGCACACGCACACACGCACACACACAGACACTGGAATAACCCGACCACGAAAACGATGAAATCTTGCCATTTGCAACGACGTGGACGGAGCGAGGGCGTAACGCTAAGCAGGACAAGTCCGAGGAAGACAAACACCGTACGATCGCGCTCGTGTGTGGAATCTAAGAAACAAAAGTAATGAACAAAGGGGGGAAAGGGACAAACCAAGAAACAAGACTCTTAACTCTAGAGAACATGCTCAAGGCCACGGTTGGGTCGGGGGGTGTAGGGCCGCTGGCCGCCATGAGCCCCGGACACTGTACACGCCTGCCCAGTCTCCGCGTCGTACGCCTGCAACTAGTGTAACACTGCAGGTCAACCACAGCCGATTCCATTCTTTTAGTGGTTAAAAAAAAAAAGTTACCAAAACTCTCTTTTAAAAAAATTAAAAATTAAAAAAAAAATTAAAAAAATAAAAAAATAAAATAAAATAAAATAAGAGGGGATCCCTGGGTGGCTCGGTTTAGCGCCTGCCTTTGGCCCAGGGCGCGATCCTGGAGCCTGTTTCTCCCTCTGCCTGTGTCTCTGCCTCTCTCCCTCTCACTGTGTGCCTATCATAAATAAAGTAAAATAAATTTAAAAAAAATAAAATAAAATAAAATAATAAAAATTAAAAATAAATTAAAAATAAATTTTAAAAAACATTTTATTTATTTATTTGACAGAGAGAGAGAGAGAGAGAGAGGGCGCATGAGCACACCAGCAGGCAGAGAGGGAGAAGCAGGCCCTCTGCCCAGCAGAGACCCCGACACGGGGCTGCAGCCCAGGACCCTGGGGTCGTGACCCGAGCTGAAGGCAGATGCTCACCTGACTGAGCCCCCAAGGTGCCTGGTTTTTTTTCTCTTTCTCTCTCTCTTTTTTTTTTTTTGGTTACTAAGACTCTCATCACAAAAAACTGTTTTGTCCCCATGCACGGTGGGAGACGTTAACTAGAAGTACATAGGGGACTAGACAACCGTGCCGCGGGTACAGCAAAGAACACTGCGTAGCAGTTAAAACACACACACGAGGTCTACACACGTCGGAAAGACTAAATACCAAAGATGTTGCGTGAGGACGTCCTGTTGCAAAGGGGCTACGAGTGGTAACACTTATTGAAATCACAGGAAGGACCTGCACAGAACCATCCCTCCCGCCACCCTGAGGCTCAGGGGTCATTTCCTATCGGAGAGTCCTGAGGCCGCAGGCACGGCCCGGAGCGCGGGCCTCGGGGCCTCGGGGAGTCACTCAAGGTCTCTGGGCCTCAAGTTTTTCATCTGCAACATGAAAATAATAATCATACTTACCTTTCAGGTTATTGTGAAGATTAAATGAGATACTAGGCACACGGTCCCTATAAGAACGTCTGCACACACCGAGCAGCTATGTTTGCCGTCGTTACTATTGTTCGTAGAGGAAGCATCAACACGCGCGGTGATGCACACGAGACCACGAAGTGCACGTGTCTGGGAGGGAAGGTGAGCAGAACGGGAGGGGCACACAACCAGGGGATCGCAACTTTATCTGTGATACTTTAATTTCTTAAAAAAAAAAAAAGAGTAAAGGTCTGTAGTTTCCGTTAAAATGCAACGATATTGGCTGATTTTGGCCGTCGGGCGCTCGGATGTATTCTGACTGTTCTTCTTTGAATTCTTATTTTTTAA